TGTAATATTCTCTATAACCAACAGAGGAAAATACAATATTTCAGTTTTGAGTTCTCTTTTGTGCAAGCTTAGCTTCAATCAAGCATAAATTTTTATTGTCTTCTTTGAACAGAGTGTTTGTATTACAATAGGATCTCTGCTGGATAAATAGAGGATAATACAATCATTCGAGGTTAATGCTGCACAAGTAAGAATTTGAAAATGGGGTTTGAAATAAGTCTCAGAATGTCAATACTAGGATTGTTATAAGAGAGACTGGGAGAGTGAAAAAAGCAAAATAAAATATACTGATAATAATGTGGATAKAAAAGAAAGATAATTGTGTTTTCAATCCAGGCTTTAGTTCGAATGAACTTTATTTAAAAACTAAATTAATTTATATCTKAATACAAAAATGGCCTATCATATTCTTATTGGTATGCAATATTATCTAATAAGCTTTAATAGCCTATTATTTATTCACTAAGTCTGGAATATAATGGAACTATGAACATAATTAATGAGATTACTGCACTGTTTAAAATTAAAAACAATTTTAAAAAATAACATGTCAAACTTCATGCATCTTTCAGTGAGGTTMAAAAAAACTATCAGTAAAAAAAAGTATTGTATAGTGGAATAGCCAGAATCAAAATATTCAACCCACATWCCCCTTTCCCCCTTGTTCTTTCTTCATATTYCCACATAATGCCACATGAGTGTCACAATGACAAAATAACATGTAAGAAAATGCATTTCCCAATCTTTATACTTGACAACATGATTATGAAACTATATTTACAATTATGTAGTTATTATGGAGCCATTTTGCTCTTGTGAACCAAAACATAAACACAACTGACAGTACACTTTCTCACAGCAATGAAAAACATTTAATATATATCAATAATTATAAGATTAAAATGAATTATTAGGAGTTATGAAATAAAAATATCTACATTAACTTCACACCAGCATATTTCTTGTCAAGATTCYCATTGTATCATTCCAATAAAAGTGTATTTTTCTATCATGATTCTTGAACAGGAATATACAAATATTTATGCCAGTTTAACATAGAATGGTTTTCTAAAAGAAATAATTTTTTTGTTTTCCAGAGAGGTGAATGTTAATGTATTCATGCACAAATATACTTTGCAAAAAAAAAATGAATCATAAGTCAGCAAATACTCTTAAAAAATGTAAGTGATATTCATTTATGTTAAAAGAGTGCAAAATACATCCAGATTCCAGTTTTATCTAATGCATAAAACACCCTTCTGTTGGCAGTTTATTACTGATGCAATACAATTCCTATTAACTAGTTGAGCCAAATTCATAATTAGATGCTATTTAAAAGAGCACTCTAAATATCCTTCCTCTTCCACCAAAACATGTTCTTCATCAACTTTATCCTTTAGACTCAATCGCTTTACAGTTTCATAGCCTAAAACGACCATTAAACTSGATGGTCCCATTGACATTATTCTTGCTGACAATCCCTTGGCAAGAGCTGCAACACCTTCCTCTTGTAAAAGGGTACGRAATGTCATCAGCATTGAGTTTCCCCCTTCAACCTTTAAAGTGAAAATGATCTCAATCATAAGTGGGCCAGGCAGTTCAAAATATGTAGCTGTACAAAAATGTATATTATTAGGGAGCACTCACTTACACCCAAT